ACCTGAAGAGCCTGATAGGGATTGTGGGGGGACCCCCATGCCATTTTTTTTTTAACTCTCCGGGCTCCTTTGTTTACATTCTGCTGTCAGTCAGGAAGCTGCACTGCATTGATGTGAATGTTCACCATAGAAAATAATGTGATATCCATTGTCATACTGTGTTATAGGAGTCGCATCTGGATTTACACTAGTGTGAACTGAGACTTATAAAGCTCAGGATAACCAGATTTCCTGACAGCTCCATGTCAGCACAGCTGGGCAAGGGCCTCACCTCCCATGTTTCCAGGACCTAACTCATAAATTTGAGTCCACTTGCAGCCTCAGCGTTCCTCTTTTTTTCCTCCCATGTGCAGGACCTAGGTGTGCTCCTCTACCTGGCTGGTGTAAAGGGCTGGCTGTTCATCCATGTGTGTGGGTTTTAGTTGGACGCGGTCCCTGGTGTACCGGCTAAATTAATCATAATCCAGGGAGCCCCACTGCTGGTTCACAAGGTGGCTTTTATCATGGCTAACAGCCTTGTCGGGGTCCGCTGGTTCCATGTGAAGTGGGCAGCATTGTCTGCAGATTCTTCCCTAGGCACGCAAACCCGCGTAGTACCAGTGTTTACAGTCGGATGGCAGAGGTTGGGTGAGCTAAACTTAAAAATGCTTTTTATCCAAATGAAAAAATGAATAATGCATTGCTAGGTATTGGTGTGCCTTGCTCCCTGCAGCTGCTGTGCATACCCTGAGCTCCTCCACAGATAGTACTTTGCATAACTGGTACACAAACTAATACTTTTTCTGTTCACACATGGCATTAACCTGTTGGTCACTTCTCATGTTTGCTGTACTATTGTGCCATTAGGCCACGCCCCTCAAAAGACCAGCATTTCCAGAGAAGGTAGAAGAGTCGCACGTAGATTACTACTGTAGCCAGCATTGCCTGTTGGAATATAGGATATTCTTTTATATTTTGTTTGTGGTCTCCAGTTTCTCAAAAAAAAGAAAAAAAAAGAAAAAGGTCTTTATGATGTCAATAATTTCCTTGGATGGTTTGTGTACATTGCAGAATATTGTAATTCTGTTGCAGATTCCTACCTTTTTGTAGCTCTTCTTAACAAAACATTTTCATTGTCCCCTGCTCTCTGGCAGGGCAAAGTTTGGTTTAACCACCATTAACCACCTGGTGAAATCTGGCTGTGGTTGGAAATTGCAGTATCAACCTCCATCTAGCAGTTAACCCTTTAGGGTTTATTACTAAGCAAGCTATTTTCTACCTCATTAAATTATTATTTTTGACTGCTTTTTTAAATAGCAGGCAAAACCCTGTGAAAGGAATATCTAGTCTGGCAATGAGCAGTCTCAGAGCTTTCCCAAGCAAAGCAACCCTCTTCAGATGTTTAAAAAAAGAAGATGCAGATTAACATGACTGTGTGATGAACATGGATGTAAGTGTTTCACTCACCATGTAAAGGGGTTACATGTTCTAGCAATGAGCAGTCTATTAACTTCCCCAGGAAAAACCACCTCCTAAGACTCTCCAAAGGGGAAGAGAGAGGTGAACATGACGGTATGAATCTTGCTTTGATCAAGCAACCAGAAATGAGGATGGTGACACCTAACATATCACATTCGTTAAACAAGTGGACAGTACACTCAAAAGGAGTTATTTCCACTCACCCTGTGAAAGGACTATATATCCTGGAAATTAGAAGTCTCATAACCATGCCAGGCAAGATAGCCTCTTCAGAATCTATGAACAGGAAGATGCGGATGACCATGACTGTTTGTATCCTGCTGGTTTAAGCAGCCAGGGATAGAGATTATGACACCTAACAGGATGTCACATTCAATAAACACATTGTCAACACACTGTAAAGGAGTGGTTTCCACTTACCCTTTGAAAGAGTTATCTGCTTTGGCAATGAGAAGCTGCCTAGTCTTCCAAGGCAAAACAGCCCTCTCCAAAGAGCATGATGCGGGTGGACATGACTGCATGAATACTGCTTTGTTCAAGCAACCAAGGATAAAGATGATGACACCTAACAGGTTGTCACATGAGGCTAATACACTCTAAAGGAGTGTTTCCACTCACACTGTGAAAGGGTTATCTGTTCTATCAAATCTATCTTGTTCAAGTAGACAGTGATTAAGATGCTGTTAACCAAGTTGTCAAAATTAATTAAGCATGTGGTCAAGACACTCTAAAGGAATTGCTGAATTCACCTTCTGCAAGGGCCATCTATTCTGGCAATGTCCAGTCTTCCCTTTAGGGACATTATAACTGGTCTCAGAGCCTTCTCAAGCCAATCCATCCTCTTCAGTCCCTCCAGAACAAGATTTCCAGGTTTTTGATTCCTCCTTTTGTAAGCTTGATGACATGCCTTTAAATAGAAGCAAAGCTGTGGAAGTATTTCAATTGCCTTCAGATGACAGCTTGACAATTAACTTATGGTGACTGAATCAAGTACTTGTTATTCAAGATTAGAGCATGTTGTCACAGCAGGATGTCAAGGGTTTTAGATCACCCCTTTGGTTCATGTGTCCCTTATAAGATTGGCCAGATACATGACTTTAGCATTAGAATATGCTGTGGCCTTCAAAGACGTACTCAATAATTGCATTGTTCTTGATCTTGGAAGGTGAAGCCTGAATAGTGATCAATTTGGCTTCCTGCCTCAAGATGAACTTCTGTTGAGTTAAAGGAGATTGGAGTCCATTTCCACGCTCACTCCAGAGAGGGTAGCTTTTGCATTTCTGGCTGGGAGTCAAAGAAAAAGCCAGCACATAATCCAAGAAGTCAGCAAAGAGCTTCATGTCAGGATACTTTCTGGTACTTTGGGAATTGTGCCATCCCTACATGTCTTATGGGCACTTGATGGTTCCTCTTTGGACATAGGTACAGCTTTGATGACAGACACATGGTCATGCAAGGCAAGCATTTCAGGACATATATGGGAGATACTTCATCCTTCCCGTCTCAGATCCAGCAGGTCCGGTAGGCTCAGCTGAACTCTCACCCCTTATCAAGTCAGGTTTCTGGACTGGTAGCAGTCAGAGTGTCAGGAATGGACTGGCCAGCAATGGTGGGACTCACCTGCCTTTTGATCTGCAGTACCAGGGCTGGCCAGCGGGTGCTCCCAGCAATCAGAGACTCAACCTTTCAGCCAGCTAACACCTGGAACTGATGATACTGGTGTATTTAAGGGATGGCCAGACTTGCAGACTCTGCCTTGGTGTTGTGTTTGTCCTGGGCCCTGTATCTGTCCTGCATCCTGTTTCTGTTCCTTTGCTACCTGTTCTGATCCCTGGCTTGTGACCCTGACCATCCCTCTGCCTGACCCTCTGTACTACGCTGCTTGCTACCTGTTCTGATCCCTGGCTTGTGACCCTGACCATCCCTCTGCCTGACCCTCTGTACTACGCTGCTTGCTACCTGCTGAACCTGGCCTGTGACCCCGACCATTCTTCGCTTGCTCCCCCTGTACCTACCTGCCCAATTGATATTGACTCGGCCTGCCTGACGACGCTTGCTTGTATGTACTGTTATCTGTGGGTGGTTGGTTGGGTTTGTTTGCACTGTATTATGTTTAGTATTGCACTGCGTTTATGTTTGTATTGTTAGTGTTAATAAATTACATTGTTAATCACATATCTGAAGTCTGCGTTTCCCTGCTTCAGTCACACACCTCTGGTCATACCTGGGAGCCCTGACATTACACCAAGGCCAATCCTGACCAGAAGTGGCTGCACAGGGAAGCCATCTTGGCTTGTTGATGGGAAGGATGGATCTGGATGAGGTTGCGTATTTATATCTGCTAGTGTTTGATGACAGGGAGTATGCTTATCAAACTCTGAAGGAGTATACCCGGGATGAACTGCTAGAATGTATACGGCTCGCTCATGTTCTAGTAGATCAGGGCACAGAGTTCTCTGAGGTGCAGCCTTTGATTGAGGTTTGTGCAGAGTTGGTTTCATCTGGTTCCCCCGAATGCAGGGATGAATTTTTGCCACCATTTAGTGCAGACCAGGTAGAGTCCCTGGTGTGGTTATTAGAGGATGATGTGGGTTACTTTCTGGAGCGTTATTCCACATGTTCACCACAGACACTAAGAGATTGTATAAACGCAGTGCAGTCATTGACCAGACAGCTTTGTGTAAGCTCAGCTTTGTTCAACCCATACTGCAGACATGGACAGACTTGTTGCACCCAGCCTCAGTCAGCTTACAAAAACCCAGTCCTGCTTCTAACTCTACTCCTGTATTCCCAACAGCTCCCCCAGTTACAGCCCAGTATACTTGGCTATCTACCGCATGTCAGTACCCTGTTCCCACTCGCTGCACCTATCCTGCCTTTAACCCTGTAAAAAAAGCCCTCTGTAGCAACTGCTCCCTCTCCTGTTCCATCCTCCAGTTCTTCTCTGTCTCCAGCTGCTCCATTCGTTTGCAGACCTGCGTTTACTTGCAGTGCTCCAGTAGTTAAAACCAGAAAAAAAAAGCGAAAATTCTTTCCAACCAATACCATCCTGCCAGTATCCAAACCGGTGAGCCTGCCTTCCGTGGTTCAGCCTGAAGCCTCTACTCAGCCTGAAGCCTCTACTCAGCCTGAAGCCTCTACTCAGCCTGAAGCCTCTACTCATCCTGAAGCCTCTACTCAGCCTGATGCCTGTACTCGGCCTGATGCCTGTACGCAGCCTGATGCCTCTCTTCAGCCTGATGCCGGTACGCAGCCTGATGCCTCTCTTCAGCCTGATGCCTGTATGCAGCCTGATGCCTCTCTTCAGCCTGAAGCCTCTACTCGGCCTGAAGCCTCTACTCGGCCTGATGCCTCTACTCGGCCTGAAGCCTCTACTCGGCCTGAAGCCTCTACTCGGCCTGATGCCTCTACTCGGCCTGAAGCCTCTACTCGGCCTGAAGCCTCTACTCGGCCTGAAGCCTCTACTCAGCCGGACGCCGGCATTCAGCCTGATGCCTCTACCCAGCATGATGAACTGATCCAGCCTGACGATCCTATTAGGCCAGTTGACTCGATGCCCGCTGTTGATCCAGATGATCCGGTACCTGATCCGGTGCCCGCTGTCGTGCCAATTGACTCAGAGCCCGCTGTCGTACCTGGTGACTCGGTGCCCACTGCCTTGCCAGATGACGCGGTGCCCCGCTGGCGAGCCAAATGACCTGATGCCTGGTGACCCAGTGCCCGCTGTCATACCTGGTGACCCGATGCCCGCTGTCGAGCCAGACGATCCAATGCCTGGTGACCCGGTGCCCACTGCCTTGCCAGATGACGCGGTGCCCGCTGGCAAGCCAAATGACCTGATGCCTGGTGACCCAGTGCCCGCTGTCATACCTGGTGACCCGATGCCTGCTGTCGAGCCAGACAATCCAGTACCTGATGACCCGGTGTGCCCACTGTCGTGCCTGTTGACTCGGAGCCCACTGCCTTGCCAGATGACGCGGTGCCCGCTGTCGAGCCAAATGACCTGATGCCTGGTGACCCGATGCCCGCTGTCCAGCCAGACGATTCAATGTCTGCCCCAGTGCCCGCGGTCATGCCAGTTGACTCGGAGCCCACTGCCTTGCCAGATGACGCGGTGCCCGCGGTCGAGCCAAATGACCTGATGCCTGGTGACCCGATGCCCGCTGTCCGGTCAGACGATCCAATGTCTGACCCAGTGCCCGCGGTCATACCAGTTGACTCGGAGCCCACTGCCTTGCCAGATGACACGGTGCCCGCTGTCGAGCCAAATGACCTGATGCCTGGTGACCCGATGCCCGCTGTCCAGCCAGACGATCCAATGTCTGACCTAGTGCCGGCTGTCATGCCAGTTGACTCGGAGCCCACTGTCGTGCCTGGTGACTCGGTGCCCGCTGCTCCGCCTGGGGGCCCGAGACCCGCCGCTCCGCCTGGGGGTCCAGCGCCCGCCGCTCCGCCTGGGGGTCCGGCGCCCGCCGCCCCGCCTGGGGGCCCGAGACCTGTCGCTCCGCCTGAGGGCCCGAGACCTGTCGCACCGCCTGGGGGTCCGGCGCCCGCCGCCGCCGCCTGAGGGCCCGAGACCTGTCGCTCCACCTGGGGGTCCGGCGCCCGCCGCTCCGCCTGAGGGCCCGAGACCTGTCGCTCCACCTGGGGGTCCGGCGCCCGCCGCTCCGCCTGAGGGCCCGAGACCTGTCGCTCCACCTGGGGGTCCGGCGCCCGCCGCTCCGCCTGGGGGCCCGAGACCTGTCGCTCCGCCTGGGGGCCCGAGACCTGTCGCTCCACCTGGGGGTCCAGCGCCCGCCGCTCCGCCTGAGGGCCCGAGACCTGTCGCTCCACCCGGGGGTCCGGCGCCCGCCGCTCCGCCTGGGGGCCCGATGCCTGTCGCCCCGCCTGGGGGCCCGATGCCTGTCGCCCCGCCTGGGGGCCCGATGCCTGTCGCCCCGCCTAGGGGCCCGATGCCTGTCGCCCCGCCTGGGGGCCCGATGCCTGTCGCTCCACCTGGGGGTCCGGCGCCCGCCGCTCCGCCTGAGGGCACGAGACCTGTTGCTCCACCCGGGGGTCCGGCGCCCGCCGCTCCGCCTGAGGGCCCGAGGCCTGTAGTTCCGCCTGGGGGTCCGGCGCCCGTCGCCCCGCCTGGGGGCCCGATGCCCGTCGCCCCGCCTGGGGGCCCGATGCCCGTCGCCCCGCCTGGGGGCCCGATGCCTGTCGCCCCGCCTGGGGGCCCGAGGCCTGTCGCTCCATCTGGGGGTCCGGCACCCGCCGCTCCGCCTGAGGGCCCGAGACCTGTAGTTCCGCCGGGGGCCCGATGCCTGTCGCCCCGCCCGGGGGCCCGAGGCCTGTCGCCCCGCCCGGGGGCCCGAGGCCTGCCGCTCCGCCCGGGGGCCCGGTGCCTGCCGCTCCGCCCGGGGGCCCGGTGCCTGCCGCTTCGCCCGGTGGCCCGCTGCCTGCCGCTTCGCCTGGTAGCCCGATGTGCCTCTGCCCGGGGTCCTGCCCGATGTGCCTCTGCCCGGAGTCCAGCCCGATGTGCCTCTGCCCGGAGTCCAGCCCGATGTGCCTCTGCCCGGAGTCCAGCCCGATGTGCCTCTGCCCGGAGTCCAGCCCGATGTGCCTCTGCCCGGAGTCCAGCCCGATGTGCCTCTGCCCGGAGTCCAGCCCGATGTGCCTCTGCCCGGAGTCCAGCCCGATGTGTCTCTGCCCGGAGTCCAGCCCGATGTGCCTCTGCCCGGTGTGCCTCTCTGCCCGGAGTCCAGCCCGATGTGCCTCTGCCCGGAGTCCAGCCCGATGTGCCTCTGCCCGGAGTCCAGCCCGATGTGCCTCTGCTGCCCGGAGTCCAGCCCGATGTGCCTCTGCCCGGAGTCCAGCCCGATGTGCCTCTGCCCGGAGTCCAGCCCGATGTGCCTCTGCCCGGAGTCCAGCCCGATGTGCCTCTGCCCGGAGTCCAGCCCGATGTGCCTCTGCCCGGTGTGCCTCTGCCCGGAGTCCAGCCCGATGTGCCTCTGCCCGGAGTCCAGCCCGATGTGCCTCTGCCCGGAGTCCAGCCCGATGTGCCTCTGCCCGGAGTCCAGCCCGATGTGCCTCTGCCCGGAGTCCAGCCCGATGTGCCTCTGCCCGGAGTCCAGCCCGATGTGCCTCTGCCCGGTGTGGCTCTGCCCGGTGTGCCTCTGCCCGGAGTCCAGCCCGATGTGCCTCTGCCCGGAGTCCAGCCCGATGTGCCTCTGCCCGGAGTCCAGCCTGATGTGCCTCTGCCCGGAGTCCAGCCCGATGTGCCTCTGCCCGGTGTACCGCTGCCCGGAGTCCTGCCCGGTGTGCCTGTCTTTGATATCCCGCCAGTTACCAGACCCGGGCGGTGGAACATTTTTCCCAGCTAGGACTGTTTGGAGCGTCCTGAGGCCGCTCCTTGAGGTAGGGGTACTGTCAGGAATGGACTGGCCAGCAATGGTGGGACTCACCTGCCTTTTGATCTGCAGTACCAGGGCTGGCCAGCGGGTGCTCCCAGCAATCAGAGACTCAACCTTTCAGCCAGCTAACACCTGGAACTGATGATACTGGTGTATTTAAGGGATGGCCAGACTTGCAGACTCTACCTTGGTGTTGTGTTTGTCCTGGGCCCTGTATCTGTCCTGCATCCTGTTTCTGTTCCTTTGCTACCTGTTCTGATCCCTGGCTTGTGACCCTGACCATCCCTCTGCCTGACCCTCTGTACTACGCTGCTTGCTACCTGTTCTGATCCCTGGCTTGTGACCCTGACCATCCCTCTGCCTGACCCTCTGTACTACGCTGCTTGCTACCTGCTGAACCTGGCCTGTGACCCCGACCATTCTCCGCTTACTCCCCCTGTACCTACCTGCCCAATTGATATTGACTCGGCCTGCCTGACGACGCTTGCTTGTATGTACTGTTATCTGTGGGTGGTTGGTTGGGTTTGTTTGCACTGTATTATGTTTAGTATTGCACTGCGTTTATGTTTGTATTGTTAGTGTTAATAAATTACATTGTTAATCACATATCTGAAGTCTGCGTTTCCCTGCTTCAGTCACACACCTCTGGTCATACCTGGGAGCCCTGACACAGAGGGCCTAGGTCAAAAGATAAGGATTACACCCTGTATGAAAGCAAGCCACAACTTGTGGTTGGAGAAGCAGAATCTTCTGAGATGTCATTCCCATCTGACAACCTAGTGGCTGGTGGTGTAGTAAGACACCAGCAAAGTAGGAGTTGAGAATGGCATTTCAGGCTCTCCTAGCCTTCAGTGACCTCATCCAGGCTGAACCTGTCTTTGTGAAGTTAGACAGCATAGCGACTGTGGCCTACATCCGGAAACAAGGGGGCACGCCTGAAGGAGGTTTCTCTGATTCTAGAGCTGGCCCAAGTCAATATCCTGCAGCTATCTGCTGTCTTTGTGCTTGGTCGGAAGAATCTTTTGGCAAGCAATTTGTCCAGGACCATCCTGGATGACAATGAATGGTCCAGACTGCCACAAGTTTTTCAAGAACTAACGGGCTTGGTAATCTCTTCCAGAGGTAGACTTGTTCACATCTCCAGTCAACACCAAGTTGCTTTCTATTCCAGGGTCCGGCATCCACAAGCAATCGAGGTGGAGGTGGTGATCGCAGAGTGGATCTCTAGGACAGCTTATGCCTTTCTGCCTCTCCCTCTGATTCTCAGCTTCCTGCTGAGGCTGTGGCAGGGAAAGGTGATAATTCTGGTGGGGATCCAAGATTGGCTGAAGGGGCCTTGGTGCCCTCTGCCCCCCCCTAATGAGTTCTGCCGGTAATTTTGGATTCTCCAAAGTCACATTCATCCAACACCTGACAGGCTCAAGCTCGTGGCTTGGGTCTCGAGAGGCAGAGGCTAATAGATCTTGGGTGCTCTGTAAAGGTTGAATACTCTTATGAAAGCAAAGAACAGCACTAACAGTACCTATAGTAGAATATGACATACATTCACAGGATTGCTGCTGATAAATGTTTTACATTGGGCTCATTAAATTTAGGTTTATGCGTAAGTATGCTATGGGCCCACATTTCAACTATCTCTGCAATCACCGGTAGACAGTGGGCATCGATTACTCAATTATACTGTCTTTCAAGCTGCAAATTGATTGAAACCTACAGTTGTGACCAAAATTATTCAAACCCCACTGAAATTGAGTGTTTTTGGCCAGTTTGACATTGCTTTTGATCATTCAGTCATCTTGCTTACATTTACATTAAAGAGGCACTTGTAGGTCAGACAAATATAACATAACAGTTATAATGAAATAACCACAAATGTCTTTTCTGTGCTCACAGCATTATCAGTTTTATTCAACCCCCAAGTGACATTCAATCTTAGTACTTAGTACAGCATCCTTTTACAGTTATAACAGCTTTTAAACGTGAAGCATAGCTTGACACAAGTGTCTTGCAGCGATCTACGGGTATCTTCGCCCATTCTTCATGGGCAAAGGCCTCCAGTTCAGTCACATTCTTAGGCTTGCGCACTGCAACTGCTTTCTTTAAGTCCCACCAGAGGTTCTCAATCGGATTTAAGTCTGGTGACTGCGATGGCCACTCCAAAATGTTCCAGCCTTTCCTCTGCAACCATGCTCTAGTGGACTTGGAGGTATGCTTGGGATCATTGTCCTGTTGAAAGGTCCAACGTCTCCCAAGCCTCAGGTGTGTGACGGACTGCATCACGTTTCCATCCAATATCTCCTGGTACTGAAGAGAATTCATGGTACCTTGCACACGCTGAAGCTTCCCTGTACCTGCAGAAGCAAAACAGCCCCAAAGCATGATTGACCCTCCACCATGCTTCACAGTAGGCAAGGTGTTCTTTTTCATCATAGGCCTTGTTCTTCCTCCTCCAAACATAGCGTTGATCCATGGGCCCAAACAGTTCTAATTTTGTTTTCATCAGTCCACAGAACACTATCCCACAACTTTTGTGGTTTGTCCACATGGCTTTTGGCATACTGCAGTCGACTCTTCTTATTCTTTGGAGACAGCAAGGGGGT